CTAGGCCAGGTTTTTTCCCGTCAAACGTTGCATTAGCCCGTGAGTGCTTTTCTTTTTAGGCACGTAACATAACAACAAATAAAATGCCAGATGCTGCGGATAGAACAAGTCCGGTGCAGATCTGATAAAACAAATGCCTTGAAGGTCTGTGCGCTTGAGCGGAGGTGAGCAGACCTCGCAGATAGTAAGAACCCACGCTCAAGTGCATCCGCCATGCAGTGCACACATGCTCGCAGATGGTAAAAGCCCACGCTCAATTGCATCCGCCATGCATCCGTTTCATTTGGAGATTAGTGGGTTCTGGTGTTTGTTTCTCGTAGTTCAATCCATAACCGTAATGCGGTCTGGGCGATTGTTTTCATCACCCATCCCACCCGTGTGTCCAGTAAGTGGGGAGCGAATCGTCCCATTTTGTAAGCACACCCACTACTGGACACTAAAAAGACTGGGTTGGTTATGGATTGAACTACCTCTAGTTAAGGATTAGGGTAGTGGTTCCTATATAAGATATGCCTAACCCCGCCTCTGTAATTCGGTCTAGGTCGTTTTGTGAATAGCGACCTATCCTGACCGGGCAGTGGATGTGGTGGGAGCGAACGGGGCTCACATAAGCAAACCACCCATCCACTGCCGAAAAGTGAGGGTTGGAAGCGGGGTCTAGGCCAGGTTTTTTCCCATCAAACGTTGCATTAGCCCGTGAGTGCTTTTCTTTTTAGGCACGTAACATAACAACAAATAAAATGCCAGATGCTGCGGATAGAACAAGTCCGGTGCAGATCTGATAAAACAAATGCCTTGAAGGTCTGTGCGCTTGAGCGGAGGTGAGCAGACCTCGCAGATAGTAAGAACCCACGCTCAAGCAGTGCACACATGCTCGCAGATGGTAAAAGCCCACGCTCAATTGCATCCGCCATGCATCCATTTGATTTGGAGATTTGTGGGTTCTGGCGTTTGTTTCTCGTAGTTCAATCCATAACCGTAATGTGGTCTGGGCGATTGTTTTCATCACCCATCCCACCCGTGTGTCCAGTAAGTGGGGAGCGAATCGTCCCATTTTGTAAGCACACGGTCGCAGCGTTTACCCCTGCGCAACGTGGCAGCGTCGAGGCGTCGCCCCCCGCCACAGCGTCGCAGCGTCGCAGCGCCGCCGCCCTCGCCGCAGCGTCGCAGCGTCGCAGCGTCGCAGCGTCGCCCGCCTCACTGCGGCGTCGCGGCGTCGGCCCTCCTGCCGCAGCGTCGCAGCGTCGGAGCGTTGCAGCGTCGCCCCGCCTGCCGCAGCGTCGGAGCGTCGCAGCGTCGCAGCGTCGCCCCTCCTTCCGCAGCGTCGGAGCGTCGCAGCGTCGCAGCGTCGCCCCCCGCCCGAAGCGTCGGAGCGTCGCAGCGTCGGCTGCCGTACCGGCCCCCTTTCCCCCTGCACTGAAAAAGGCTTTTTTCCTTTGTCCCGGAGCCAAAGTGGATGTGTATGGAAAGAATTTTGGCAGGCATCTTTTGGTAGTCGTATTTAGCTTGCCGGTGCAAAAGGTAGGGAATGAGACATGGAATGAACCACTTCCGGGGATTCCCGAAGAAAGGAAACCCGTTGGATGGTTTATAAGGCCTGCTGAGCACCAACAAGGTGAATAGATGTCCTGGGTAATACGGCGGCTTGTGTTGCAATTTAGTGCAGCGTTTGAGTGGGCACGCAAAGACCCCGGTGATGAAAGGAGACGTGCTTGCTTTAGCGGCGCAAGAGCGCCGTGCCAATGCCAGGCATCAACATTGTCACCAGATTGGGGCTTGTCTTCGCGCTGGTCGTAGTCTACACTCTCTTCAGTTTCTATTTTGGCCTCTTCACAGTAGGACAGGCATGTGAGTTTTATGCCTTGCTGGGACAAGCAAAAAACATTTGCAGTCATTTCAATGTAGGACCGGAGAACCTACAGGGCCCTGGCAGCGAAATGATCACCGGCCTGAGTTGGGAAGCTTGGCATCCTGCCGGTGAGTGGGCCCCAGGGCACCTGAGTGGTGATGCGTGCCCGATTCGAGCCCAACGACACCCATATGAAGAAAAGATGGGTGGTTCCACCTGATTTTTTTTGGGTTGAATAGTGAGATCCTCCAAGGTACCCACCCAGAATGGTTGTTTCCTGGGAACCAATCTCAAGGTACTCATCTGAATGATGTTTTTCTGGGGGATTCAATCTCAAGTAGCTTTTCAGAAGCCTTGGACAAATGCGCAGTTTGCCCAGCCACGATTCTGGCGACTCGCCGAGGAGACCTTTCAGGCCAACTGGGGGCCACACTACGACGAGGGCGTCCACTTCGGTGTGGTGCTGAGCCTCTTCTACCCGTGCTTCACAGGCCCCGGGGTTTGGGTGTTGGATCTGGAAACGGTCCGGCTAGGTGGCTTGGAAACCCCGTGTACGTATTTCCTTGGTTGCCATAGGCTTGGTCCACAAGGATGGTTTTGAGACCCATTTGGCAGGCATCTTAAGCGGCGCGAACCGGGCTGATGTGCTCAAGGACAGGCTCGTGCCGTCGCAAGAAAGTGGGCCATCGTCTTTGAAAGACTGGAGCTGTTCAAGGGTGTCCCCTTGAGGACCCTCCGAAAAACATTCGTGTGGGTACCTTTGCTGCCATTGTGCTCCTTTGCTGCAAGTGGCCTTTCGCGTGGCTGGACGTCACTGGTGCGGCGACCTTGTTCCGGTTCTCGATTTCAGAGCCATCCAGTGGTTTTCAGATGTCTGAGGTTCAAGCTCTTCTTTTTGATTTTTGGGCTTGGAGATCCATTTGCTGAGGTTCAGCCTCTTCCTCTATTCCTCCTTTTTCATGCTTTGGGGCAGTGTGGCCACGGACGACTACCTCAAGGGCAACTTCCTGGAACACGGCCGGAGGCGAATCAGCAAGCGATTTTCTGCCTTTGTAACTGGATTCCTTCCGCCCCCCCAATGCTGATTTTCCTTTTAGCTTTCCTTTAACATCGCAAACATGGGCACCAACTCCAAACAAGGACATACTCATACCACCTCGCAGGGTTGCCCGAAAGTCTTGCAGGTGCAATGGATGAAACCACGGACGCCTGGCTGTGGTTTCGTTTTGGTTTGCCTCCAAAAACGAGGGCCATGCTTTCTACTTCTCGTGCGCAAAGCTGCTGGCTCGGCTTTCTGCAGCTAGCCCTCAAATCCACCCCGAATTCAGCCTCAAGCCTCTAAAGCAACCCCTAGCCTAACCCACCGAAAAAAACCCAAGCATCACCCCAAGAATCAACCCAAGCCTCTTCAACCTAACCCACCGAAAAGCCCAAGCATCACCCCAAGAATCGACCCCAAGCCCAAAACCGACGTCCCAAGCTGAAGACCCAGCGCCAGCGATCCCGAGCTGCGGGGCCCAGGCTCAGCGGGGTCTCTCCAGAGGCTGGGCGCCACATCGTGCAGACCGCGCGGGCGCCCGGGGAAGCGGCGCCGCGGAGCCGCGGACCGGCCCGGGCTTCGAGTTTTGGTTTGGGCGGGTTTTTTTGCGTTTTTTTTTAGGGTTCAGCAGCCATGGAAAAGCAAGGCCCAATTCAGATGAGGAACCTCCCTGGGTGAAGAGTGGTGGCCGTATTGTCCCCTATGGTTTGTTTGAACGGTGGTTTGCACCGCAGGGGTTCAGACTGAGCATCTCAAAGTTTTCGAAGTCAGGAAAAGGGCTTGCGCTCGAGAACCGCGTGGCAATCTGAGGTGGTGTGGAATCCGTTTCCCAACTCCGCCTTCATTGGCATCTCAGCTAAGTCGGTTACTTGTGAGAGGCTCGCTCCCCACGAAGCGCGCGCAGCCAGGCATCATTATAGCCTCGCTGAGTCAGTCGCTGCAGTGCCTCATCGTGGCGCCTCGGCTTCTGCAGAACATGGCCAAGGACTGGAGAACTGGGTTCAAGTTTCCTTGGAGACTCGAGACTCCTTTTTTGGGGTACGGTCTTTTTTTTTTTTGGGCAGGGAAGCCAAAAGACTACCCAGTGTTGGGGTGGTTTTGATACCCGTTTTGGGGGCGGTTTCAAATGCAAAAAAAAGAGGAAAGAACCACCAGTTCTTGGTTGGTCACCTATTTTGAAACCAACCCAAGTGAGAGCCTGCGAGGTGCCATGAAGTGCAATGACCTTCGCTAGGACCGGCTCATGCCGGCGCTGCGGCCGCTGGAGGTACTGTCCTCCAGCGGTGAGCCCACGCGAGCCCTGCTCTTCACCTACGTGTGCGCCGCAGCTTGGAAGACGTGATTAAGGGGCAAGGGGGGCTCGATGGCAAAAGGGGGGGCAAGTGGGAAAGGCCGTTGGCACATTTCCGCACGCGCCCAGGTGCAAGCCCAATGCCAATGGGAGTTTGGGCCATTTTGAAGGTCGCACCATTTTGGGACGAACCCAAGACGATAAGGCCCGGTCCCAACCAAAAGAAAACACAAACTCATTTTTTCTCCATTGTCGCGGAAGTCGGATTGACTGAACTCTGCCCAGGGGCATCCCTGGAATTCTTCCATGGCCTTCCGAGGCGATGCTCGTGCTCATCGGGCAGCTGGAATTGGTGGCACCGCTGCTGACCATGTGGGACGCTTATCCCGCCAGGGATAGCAGCAACCAGCACGACTGGTTGCGCGATTGGTTTGTTGGTTGATGAGTGGATTGGTTTATTGGTTGATTGGTGGATTTTGGTTTATTGCTTGATTGAAGCAGAACAGTCTCATTCGGATCCTTTGGGATACTTTGGTGAGGCACGCTGCGGATGACCCAGGTTGATGACTTGATGTTTGCAGGGGGAACCCCATCAGTTTGGAGACGGGCTTGCGCATCCGGACAAGTTGCTTTGGAGCTTTGCTGAGACTCGGTGGTGCTTTGGCCGCGGCCATGCCTCGACTCCCGCACTCTGGCTCGAAGGACAAGAGAGGGTGTTCATTCCATCCGAGCCACGAGGCTGAAAGCACAGCCACTCCAGCCACACACATCAGATCTGTGCGCACAGCGCAGACGCTGGAGGTTTCTTTAGATCCTAGTTTATGAATGGATTGGCCACGCGCGGACGGCGCCCGAGCCGAGAAGGGGGCGTCAGGCAGTTTGGCCATGCCAGCAAAGCAAGAGTTCGCCACCTTGCAAATCCGTGTGAGACGTCGCTGGTGTTTCAGAAGAGCCTCGCAGGGAATGTATCGAGGGCCGCTTCATGAACCATGCTGCGACCGGACGAGCAGCCGTCGGCCGGACAACGAAAGGCGCGCAATGTGCTTGTAGCGTCCCGAACTATTTCCCCTTTAATCATCACCTGTCTTTTTCCGCCGTTTCAAGGGCAAATAGAGCCGGCCCTTGCATGTCTAACTTCAAGCCAACGTGTCTCCAGCCTCGCGAGCTCTAGGGTATCGCGGTGATGGCAACAGGTTTTGCCATGATGTTGTCTGGTCGGCTGCTCGGTCGTTCGGGCCGCTGGCTCAACAATCTCAACAACTCCCCAGCACATTGCACCAGAGAGGTAGGCCAATTGGTTCGGCTGTTTGTTAAGGGCCAGTCGGGCAATCAGCTCCAAAAAAGTTGACTTGCGCCAGGCCAAGGTAGTGCCAAAGACCTGCTGGGTGGGTACCGGCCTGCTGCAGAAACAGCCGGCGCAAAGCCGCGGGAGCCGCGGGATCCCCGAGACCCGCGGCATCGAGATCGGGTGGCCAACGCCAACGGGGCCAACGGGGCCAACGCCAAGGGCGCCATCGCGCCCGCGGCTGCGCCCCATGCGGCCCATGCGGCCCATGCGGCCCATGCCCCCGCGCAACGGCCGGAGCCACCTTGGATGGGCCGCGGCACACGGCGTGCGGGGCTCAGAGAAGAGCACCTAGTACGTGAGTGGCTGGGATCTCGCTAGGCCCAAATGGCGAGGTCGCAGCAGTTGTGCCGCCCTGGGCACAAGAAGCTCAGAGATGCATGTTGATTGCTATTTGACACGTGACTCAGAGCTTCGATTCGTTCCACGCACCTGGCCAGCCAAGGACACCTTTACCATGCCATTCCCCAAGCGCGAGGCTCAGAAGCGCAACCCGGAGCCTTGGCGGGATGGGCGAGTGCATGTGGCGAGCCCGGGCCAGCGTAGCGTGGGCGTTTCTCGGCTAAGGACAACGGTCGTCGGAAGAGCGGCCGTGCCCTGAGCCAGCAAGCCGCCAGCTTTGCTTAGAGCACTGAAGCCCAGGCGACGGTCTCTTCGGGGCACCAAACCATGATGCTCGGTCGCGCTTGGCGGGAATTGCTGAAAGAGGCGAGAGGTTTCGACAGTTTTGGGTTCACGGCCTAGCCAATGAATAAAGTATGCATATCATGCCAGCAGCTCGCGACCAAGGATGCACAGCTGCCGCTTGGCATTCGGATGGCTACACCTCTTGAGGTATCTTTGGGGCTGGTCTTTTTGATCTCATTTTCAACTGCAAAGGGTTTCCTACTTCGAGACACGCCCACGGCGCGTTTTATTTGAACATTGGACTCCTGCCGCAGGTCCCCTAAAACATGCATTTGAGCCAAGTCACACTGACCGTCAGAACTCTCCAAATGGCATGACAACACCATGGCGCCCTCTTCAGGAGCCCTTTCAGTGGTTGAAAGAATTCCCTCGATGATCTTTAAGTCAAAGCCTTTGTTGCACATCCTTATGAAAATGTGTGACACCACCATCCATGTTCCAGGGTGTTCAAACCAACTACTTGGGGATTTCTGACACCACCATCCATGTTCGAGGACAATGTTAACTGTACAGAGCACACATTTGGGAGCTTGCCCCAAAACAAATGAACCACGGCCAAAGTTACTTGTTCCTCCAAGCCATGCAGTTTGTGGATATCTTATATCCTGTGCCTGACGACAGAGGCCTGCGCAGCTCCCGAGAGCGAGGCAGGAAGTGACTTGCGACTCCCCTTTCGTTTTTGTTTGGCCAAATTGACCACACCACTGGACCCCCAGTTTCTCCCGGTCTCTTTTGTTTGTACCCCCCCCTCCCTCCCCCGGGTTTTTGTTTGGCCAAGTTGGCTGCAACTGGACCCGGTGTCTCCGTTTGGAAGCCTGAAGACGCGGTCAAAACCTTGTTTTTGGGTCCCTTTGGCTTGTGAAGCGACAGGGAAGGCTGTGCAGTGGCCTTCGTGAGCAAAGCTGCGGAGCCGAACTCCCAGTACCGGGCGTACATGGAGGACAGCGGATTTCCATTTGTTGGGGTTACATTCCACTTGTTTTACACTGGGAAAAGACTCCTCTTGGATGGTGCTCAAGGTACACCAAGAAGCCAAAGGACTTAGAGAAGCATTTTGAAACAAACCTATATGGCTTTCAATTGTACGGGGGAGCCTCCCAAACGCTTGGTGGACATGAAATGTGAATGATGCCCACCTAAATGTCCCGAACTAAGAATTCCACCCATGCATCGTTGGTGCCGGTGCTGTGTACGCAGTACGCGTGTAGCTTTTGTAGCCAGGCTTGCACGTGTGTTCGGCGAGGACAGGTACTGCATCGTCGATCCCTTCATGAAAGGAGAGTTCGTCAATGAGACGTGGCCTGACGAAACGACTCCCAATCCCCGGGGACTTGCGCGCAAGACTTGGACTAGGGATTCAATGAGCCTTTCCTGTCAGCTCCTGGAGGTTCGATCATAGCAGTCTATGGTTTATTGGGAGGCTCAAGGGGAACTTGCAAATTTCCCACAAAAGCAAAGACAAGGGGCTGACTAATTTCCCATGTCCTTTAGGGAACAAGTAATTTTGACCGAGGCTCATTTGACCTCCCCTCAGTCACAGAGTGTCTTGAAGGTCGGTTCCTGTTGCTGATTCACATCCGCAGGATTTTTACCGTAGTCCACCCGATTTTTGTTGTTCCCCTGTCGCACAAGTTGGTGCTCGCCATGCATGCGAGTTCAGCTCCTGTAGAACTGGGCCAAGGGGTCCAACTGCCTTTTGGTGAGTTGGAGGTTTCCCTCAATGCGGCATGTGTGTTTTTTGAAGTGCGGGAGACCCCCAACAACCGGGTCCTCCAGAAAGCAAAATGATCAAGCCCAACAAGTCGGGTCTGTCCCTTGATGCACCAAAAACGGGTCGTTGGTTTTTGTTGGCAGCCGTGGGGTCTTTGCCCCATGCTGGGTTGTGGGGTTCCGATTTTTGTTGGGAGGTTCCAGGAATGAATCTTGGCTGGGCATGTTCTTTGGGCTTATTTTCAGGTCTCCTTACAGGAATCTTGCAAAAAGCCGTGGGAAGATGTCTCCAAGTCTCAGTCTTGGAAACGCGATTTGTCAACACGGTCCAACTTTGTGGTTGAATCCAAGTAGGTATTTGAGGCCAAACCACAGAGACATCACTGGCGTTTGAAGACCAGGTCGTGACTCGTCTGGAAGTGTTTGATTCATGAATCCAACATCAAAGGGTCTGAGATTCATCGAAGCCAACAGGAAACCGCATCAATTTTCGGGCGAATTCAGCCCGGACATTTCTTGGAAACAAGAGTTCGGGATGATTCCCCTCACTGAGCAAGTTTCGCACTCCCCCCATTTTTTCTCAGCTCGTGGAACATCACCTTGCAACTTTTGAGGGAAGCCTCGTGCTGTGTGGGAAGTGGAGTTAGAGACATGTGAGAACGGGTCTGGTTTGCAGATTCCGCATCGGGCGTCACACTCAGATTGTGGCCTTTAAAGCCACGTGGGTGTTCCCAAAATAGGAGTGCCCCAAAATGGTCGGTTTCCTTTGGTTCCCTCCAATGCCAGCCAGAATGCGGGTCCAGCATGAGTCAATGGGTTTTGGGCTGCTCAAACCTGCAGGCCACCATGTTATCATCCCCCCCAACCCCCCTCCCCCTCCCCCAACTTGCCAACCCCCCCCAAACCCCCGCCCTCCCGGCCCTACCCGCCGGCCAGGTGGGGCTTCTTTGCGGTCTACGACGGGCACGGGGGCGCCGCGGCGGCGGAGCACTGCGAGGCGGAGCTGCAGCGCGTCTTGGCGCAGGAGCTGCGCCTGGAGAAGAGCCACCGCCCCGCCTCCCCGCTCCGCGACGAGGCGCGAGCGGGGAGGGCGGTGCGTTCGTCGGACTCAGGGTCAGCGGGGTTTGGGGTTCTTCGGTCGGTCGGCGGGGTCGCCCGGGCGGTTCCATGTGAAAGACACGGGGGGAGAAAAACATGGGGGGTGCATGAACAGGGCCGATGAAGGTGGGATGACCATCGGTTGGAAACAGACGCAAAAGATGAGATAGGTCATGGGAAAAGCTACACATATCGATCAACCCCCACAGGGAAAACCGGGTGTGTCCCCCTCCAAACCTTGCAAAGGGTACCAAGTCAAAGGTGCCGAGTTGAAGACAATTAGGTTTGTGTTTTCTTGAGTTGGTGCTGGGGGAAAACACAAGAAGGACAATATTTTGGAGTGCTCCCCCATTCTGAGAACCCTTAAAGTTGGGTGACGCATGGCACAATTCTCAGTTCACCTGTTTGGGGTAGCCATGGGAAGGTGTTCCCTCATGGTGTGAGGCTCTGTCCCCTTAACCGAAGCCACTTGTGGGCCCTATTGTGACACCCGAAATAGTGGTCGAGATCAGCAATTCAAAAAACCACAAAAAATACACGGGGGGGGGGGGGTGGGTTAGGGCCAGTCTGTCTTTTTTGGGTTTGTCAAGGTTTTTCCACCGTGCCGGTGAAACAGCTCCATTTTGCGGCTTTTGGGACGTTTTTTTAACTTGGGGTTTGGAATGTGATCGAGTCACCAAAAGAGATGGGTCACGATGGGATTCGAGTGTGTTTGTCTTGAGGGGACCCCCCCAAATAAAGTTGTTTTCCTGTTGGTTTCCCAGAAAAGCCACAAAAGTGGGTATCCTCAGATCAGACGACAAAAACACCTGGGGACGGGGGCGAATGGGATACAGGCGGTCGCGGAGGCCTTGACGAGGACTTTCCAGAAGGCAGGGAGAGAGTGGAGCCGGAGGCCCCTGCCACGTCGCACCGTTCGGAAACCCGTCTGATACGATTTCCCCAAAGTAAGTACCAAATTAAATACCAGCAAACGTCATGGTTTCAACCATGGTTTGACAGTGGTGCGAAACGGATTTCGCAACCATCCACAGTATTGCAAGGGGAGTAAGGGAACTCCCCAATTTACTGTAATTTCCCCTGGTCTTGTGAGTGGGTGTGGTTGGTTTACTTGCATTCTGTTGGGCATCCGATGCTCTGAACCATGATTCAGCCAACGAAACAGGAACTTCGGAAGATTCCCACCTGAAGAGGCGGTCTCAAATACTTTGCAGCACCTTTTGGTCGTCAAACTTTACTGACTGTCCTTTTGGTAAGGTGATGTGATTGTTGACGAGTATTCCCTTTGCCACTTGAGGGCTTTGTGAATATGGCCATGAAGGTTCATCTTTTCGGAAACCCACCCAAACGGACAGAGGGGAAAGCAAACCAGGTGGATCCTTATTTTGGCCCTTAGATATTTTAGACGAACCAAAAGGCGGAGAACTCTTGCCACAGACTTCATTCGGATCCTTAGGTCCAGACAGCACTCGTTGGCAAGGGGCAATCCACAGGCATGTGATCAAACAGATGGGTCTGTGTGAAAGTTGGGAGGCTCCCCCCCGAAACTGGCAACTTTCTCTTTTGACGTCCAGACAGAAAAAAGACGACTTTGCACAACTCCTCCAAAAGTGGGCATTCCCCTTGGATGCCCAGAAAGAGAGCGAGAGAGAGAGTCCCAACATGAGGGCGCTCCCTTTTGATGCCCCAGAAAAGAAAGGAGAAACAACCACAACACCCACCCTTTCAGTCCCAAGAGCTTCCGTTTTCCGATTTTCCGGGTCCACTCAAAGCGCCGGCTGACTCTGAAACTTGTCGCAAAGAGCGTCGCAGAGAGGCGGACGAGCAGCTGCGGCAGGTGGGCGCCTGGCGCTTCGGCTGCACCGCCACGGTGGCCTTGGTGCGGCGCCAGCCCGCCACAGTGCGCATCCACGCGCCTCGGTTGGAGCCGTCGCGGCACGGGGAGCCGCCAGTTGGAGCCGCCCGGTGAACCCGCGGCCCACAACCCAAAAGGGATACGTACCCCTTATAAAGCGGGTTGGAAACCAGGGAAGCCAAGAGGTACGAACAAGGGGTATGTACTTCCACCCTTTGAGCTTGGGCGCGTTTGGTTCCCATGAGCCGCCCAAAAATGGTGGGCTTTCCTCTTGGTTTCCCTTTCTACCCCTTAAAAGGGGTAGCAGAAAGAGACACACCCACGTATGGCCATGAATTTTCAGAGTTGGAGCCACCTCAGAAGTGGTTGGTGGGCATGAATCCCCTGCCAAATGGTGAAAGGTCACACTCATATTTGAGTCGTCCAACAGGTCGCCTTGGCCGATTTGAAGTGAATTTTCCTTTGGAGGGAGCCTTGAGGCGGCGGCGTGCTCCGGGTTTGAGTGATGGACAGTCGTTGTATTGCCACCCAAATGCTTGCGCCAATGGTTGCGCCTCCCCAAATGGGCTCCTCTATGTCAACCACCTCAATTCCTGGAATTCCATGAATTATTCCAGGTTTCCAGGGGTTTGATTCTAGACTTCCTGGAATGATTCCAGGAGTTCCGGGGGATTGTCAAATAGTAAATGCTACGACAGCAAGGGGCGTAGACAGGTAAAGGACTCCTTTTTCTGTGGGCTTAGGCAACCTGATGCCGATTGAAAGGCAAAGCATCAACTGGGTTTGTCCCAACTGAAATGGAGATCCGAAGCTTCGCATGGTCAGACACGTTTCTCAGGGGAGGTCAAGTTTGGATCAATATGAATAGGGGGGATTTGGGGTTGGGGATGGGGAGCTGAACGATTTGCGTGGACTGCAAAACGCTCGTACTGACAGCTTGAGAGGATCAAGTGATTGTTTGCCTGATGAAACGGGGGAAGAAGGCTATACGACTGATGGCATGATTCCTGTCACGGATGATATCTCCGCGATCAATCGCGGTAGCCTGCATGAAGTGCATCTCATCCAGCAAGGGCCATGGCTTTTGGTTGCTTTGCATCGAGCCATTTGACTCAAGCTGCGGTTTGACTCGCCTTTAGCCTTTGGCCATGTGTTAGACCCATGGAGTCCCCATGGGCTGCCAGCAGCTCTGAGAGAGAGCCGAACGCCGATCGGCTTCAGCTCAATGTGCGGGGCCTGGAGAACGAGCACGGGGCCAACCACTGCTTCCTTGGTGCATTTTGCTTGGAGGTTAGGACTTTAACTTTTTGGTAACTAATGGGTTTTCCACGAAACCACTAAATGTTATTCACTTTTAGCAGGGGAGCAGAAAGCAACCGAGGTTTCCTGAACGTGGTGATCCAAGCCTTTTGGAACCTGCGGTCCTTTAGGAGACGACTGCTGGATGCAGAGGCAGATGATCATTCGCATGCTCGCGACTCAGGTGGGCGTTTCACAAAAAACAACAACGACAAGGACCCCAACAGAATGAACCGGCAACCAGCTATTTTCCGAGCTTCTTCTTTTGGGAGACAAGGCCAAACAGTATGGTTGGCGCCAGCATGGCAACGAACTACCCCTAGGCTGCTGCTACTGTGCCCTGAAGTCTCTCTTCCAGGAGCAGTTGGGTTCCCGTCCGTTTCCGTGTGGCTTCCGGAAGCCAAGGCCTCCGGAAGCCGAAGCGCTTTGCAAGCGAAGCAGGTGGCAGGAAACAGGTGGTCCCCACCAAAGAGCCAAACTGGTGGTTGGCCCAACCGAACAATGGTTGCATGTCAGAAACCGGTGGTTGGCCGATTCAATGGAGCAATGGATGCAAAGGTCTTGTATTGCCCCAAAGCCTAGGTCCTCGACCCTGACCCTTTTCAGCTTTAGTTAGAAATGGCCGGCTCCTTTTTCAGGCTGAACGCCTCCTTCTAAGGCTCCAAAGCCTCTTAAGGTTAAGCCGGTTGTCTTCAGCCCAAGGAGTATGCCGTGTCTACAAACTCCACGGACACGCTCCCCCCGGACTGCCTCCGCGAGGCGCTGAGCGGCGTCTATGACGAACGCCGCTTCAAGCTCGGGGACATGGAGGACGTCATTGTGTTGGGCTTTGGGGTTGTGTGGTTTTGGGGGTTTTGTGGGTTTTGGGGTTTTGGGGTTGGTCTTCGAGCCGTGATTCCCTTTTCAAGTTGATAGCAAGTAGATAAAACCCATTCCTTGCTGGTGCGATAGGCAGGGAGTGACCTTCCGGGTGTTGGGAATGAACAAGTCGAGGTTCCCTGAATTAAAGGAAGCCACAAGAGATTGGTTGCAGGCGTCATTCTCTCATTCCATGCGGAGCAACAGCAAGAATTCCAGAAGTTCCCTCATTTGAGCTCGTGTCTCCTCGCTGTTTTGGAGAGCACTCTTTGTTCAGTTTGGCTTGAACGGGGGTTCAAAGAGAAATAACATTCTTATTTGGTGGGGGGTGGGGGGTGGGTCTAGTTGGACACAAACCCTCATGGCAAACAGACAACGAACTCCTTTCAAAAAAAAGCTCAGTGAAGGGCTGATTTTCAAGCATTCGTGTCAAGCCTGGTTCGTTTCCAGGGAAGCAAAAGGAAGACAGACTCAAAAAAGGGTCCCCTTTGACAAAATGTTGACCCCGGATGAACAACCCCCTGTTTCTGGGCCATGGGGTCTTCCCAATTCCGGGCCCATATTGCTCAACGGCCTGTTTCATCCTTCTTATCTCCGGAGGACTCTAGCCCTATTGGGCTGGATCTTTAGGCTTCAACCTTTTCGGATTCCCTCCATTTTCCCCTTTTCACCGGCAGAAAGCCGAGCTTTCGGCTGGGGGATCAGCCCCCGGAGGATGCCACGGAGACCATCGAGACGATCCTGGGCATCCTGCACGCCAGCAACCTCACGGAGGCCGAGAATCTCGGCGCGTCGCCCATCTCCCACCACATCGTGGAGCAGGCGACACCCGGAAGCATGTCGGGCACCGACCAAAGCCCATGGCAGTGGCCAAAAAGCAGCTTGCTTTTGGCCACATTGCGGGAGTTGTTCTTTTTTTATTATTATCTTCTTCTGAGTCGCTTAAGGGATGCGCCTTGGCCATGTCGAGTCCACACGTTTTTTTACCAGCTTTGGAGGATCTTGTGAGTGTGACAACCAAAAAAGTCGCTTTACATCTCAACCCTGCAGGCAGGCGATGTGGGGTGCCACCCCTTGTGCCTGGCACATGAAGTCTTTGGCTTGGAGTACGTGGATGTGCTGCGGTGCACCTTCTGCGGTGCCAATGGGGAGCCCTCCGTGTCGAGCTCCTACTTGTACACAGCCTATGTCTCGGAGCTTCTTCAAAGCCCGCAGCCGAAGCTGGGACGTCTCAAGAAAGTGTTGTTTCTTTCTTAAAACTTAAAACGAGAGTATATATTTTCGGGTACGTTTGTTTTGGGGGGGTTTTATAAGAGTATTCTTTTGGGGTAGACGAACAAAATATAAACATGGCTGACAGAATCAGAACGTATTATTCTTAAGGAGCATAACATATGCTTGCTTTTTGTGTGAGGAAGAATCTTCATGAGATGCTCAAGGAGCTCTGCCAGCAGAGCCTTCCTACCAGGAAGTGCTTGGAGTGCAACTCCCGGAAGACCGTGGTCTCAGAGCGGTGGCTCACCAGAAGCCCCTGCACCTTCATCTTGTCCCTGGTCTGGCCCTCCTCCACCCCAGGCAAGGACGCCATTTGGGTGGTGCTGTCCATGATCCAGCCGCAGCTTCGCATGGACCAGATCTTTCACACAGAGACCTCTGCAAGCTCCAAGACGGATGGGGTCTACAGCTTCCACGGGATGATCTGCTACTGCGGCATGCACTACGTGGCTTTGTTCTGGTGCCCCGGCAGGAGGCGCTGGGTCTTTCTGGATGACACCTGCGTCCAGGAGAAGGAGGACTGGACCTCGGCCACCCGGTTTCTGATGTCCGGGCACTACCTCCCCACGCTAATCTTCTACGAGAGCTCGGAGGAAGCGGCCCTGGCCGAGTCCTTGGAGGAGCTCAAGCGACAGGTGAATGGGCTTGAAGAACAGTCTTCCTGCGCAGCCATGTGAGAGGCAGAGATTAGCTGAATCGCTGGAGCCAGCCTTTGCAAAGCTTGAGGGCTGGCTAGCTGGGCAGATCAATACACTGAGTACACTGCCCGCCGAGTTGAGAGAAAAGCCTCTCCCGCGTGTAACTTGGACCTTGTCTTGCATGGGGCCGTTTCTTCGGTGCGACCCAGGTGGCAAACGTGGGAGACTCACGGGCCCTCTCAGTGGATGGATCTGGAGGCTCGCGTCAGCCTCTGAGCTCGGGCTGGAGGAGCAGTTCTTTCCTTTGCTGGAGGGAGTCAGGAGACTGTGGAATGAAGTTTGCTCTTTGCTCTTCCAACTTGTGAGCCATTGACCCTGTCAAGTTGCAAGAGGTGGATTGAAAGAAGTCGATCTCCCAGGAAGCGTTTCGTCTGCGTGGCACATCTCGCCTGGTGTCCTTTTTTGTTGCTGTTTTTTTGCAAGCTTGCGAGTAGCTCAGAATTGGTAGTCTACTGTTGGCTTGGGGAGGACATGGCGGGGACAAGCCTGTATCCCGGAGAGGCTGCGGCAGAGAAGCAGCAGCAAAGTATTGTTCTAGCTCTACTTTGTTTCAACCCTGGTAGAGTTCTTTGTAAAACAAACAGAAGCTTTCAACTGATCAACGATCCTAGAAGTTCCACGACCCACAAAACTACATCTTCAGAATTCGGCTGATTCCTGGCACGGGGATGGTTTTTTTCTCTCTCCAAAGGACGTCTGAGGGGTCAATGCGATCCTTTGGGCTCCGTGACCCGGACCGGTCGGACTCAAAGGGTTTAAGTTGAAAGGCGAAACCGACTCTGGGTAGATACTCGTGCCACTATGGAGATTCATTTTTGATAGCAACGACCGGACATGAATCCCCAGCATGTCCAGACACCCATATCAGTCAGCTTTGGACTTGGGGAAGGCCATTCAGCTCTTGGGAAACCGGTTTTCCAGTGGCGAAGTTCCAAACATGAACCATGAAACGTACCCAGCCTGACGGGCTTGGCCAAACTGGGCCGGCCACATGGGCCGGAGCAGCCTTGCTGGGATAGGAGGTGCCAACCTTTCTCGTGGTCGACCTCTTCCTGACCAACTTTTTCTTTTCGCCCCCAGAACACAACCCCATTTTTTTTTCCGGGGGTGCTTCATGAGGGGCCCAAGGTTTCCAATCCGCAAGCATTTGTTTTGGACCACCCTTTCCGAGAGAAAACAAAAAAGCAAAACAAAAAACAACAACAACACAACACCGGGGGTTCCTTGGGACGGGCCGATGTGCGGCCTGCGCCGTCGCCTGCGCCGTCGCCTGCGTCGCCTCGCCAGGCGTGCAGCGGCTGTCCATGGACCACCGCCCCACGGACCCCGCGGAGGCGCGGCGCATCCGCGAGGAGGGGGGCTTCGTGACCATGGGCCGCGTGGCAGGCGCGGTCGAACCGCGGTCGGGATGCGATGTCGGGATGCTGCTGGTTCGTCACTCTCACGGGCGAGCTTTGACACATTGGGTCAAACATATGTACCCAAAATGGAACCCTGGTCCCTGGTATATAAATGGAAACTTGGACTACAACCTGTGGGCCCCTGGTCGTTGAAATTTGACCCCCCACATGGACAGGTTAGTAGCATTCCTCCAAATGGATTGGCGGTTTGGGAGTTTCACGCCTTGGTTCTTGAGGTAAATGGGAAACACAATCCCCGTTGCACCACCAATCACCAACGATTGGAGAGAAGCTGACCCGAGGCAAAGCAAAACACTGGGGTGAAAAAAAGTCTTGTAAAATAGGGTTTGCCAAAGCTGACATTGTGCTTTTTGTTCAATTGCTTTCTAGGCCAAGTGCGACGCCATGGCCATCCCTTCCCAACTACAAGATGTTTGTTTGTGTGTGTCAAGCTCGGAATTTTGCGACCCAAGAAATGTTGATTCCCAAGCAAAAGGACCCACACCCAAGAAATGGTTCCGTTGAGCCAAGGTAAAAGGGGATACCGCGAGTTCCATCAGAACTGCTCGCGCCACGGAGCTCGTTTGGGCAGAGACCCCCGTTGGCAGCTGGGCAAACAGGGCAAAACACATCCGTGAGAATGGCGCTTTGGTGAAAATCAGGTTCTGGGCCTTGAAGGCAACTAAGAACTGCAGCAGTTTTCGGTTCTTTTTGTGTTCGACATGTTTCAAGCGGAAGAGGAACTGGGCTCGCCGAAAGGTTGGGCGCAGATGTGTCGGTCGGTGCGAGGTGAGCTGGCCATCAGTCGTGCGCTGGGAGACCTGCTGTTGAAGAACTCAGGCCCGGGGTGGGGATTTGCGTTTGGCGACCAAGAGTTCTCAAAATTGCTTTGGGGGTGGTGCTTTAAACTAGCCTTTGGGGAGTTTTCAGGATGGACCGGTTGGCACGGCTAGAGAGTGAGCCCCTGGAAAACGCTTGGGTGGGCTTTGGGAGCCTTGAGAAACCACGCGACTCAGACCCAATGGTAGGTCCGTGGATCCTTCTTTCCTCGCCTTGGCTAGTGTTTGAGCGAAACTCGTCTCAGATTCGAATGTGGCCCCCTCCTCCCCCCCTCTCCTCCCCCCTTCTCCCCCCCCACCTTCCCCCTCCCCCTCCGTTTTTCTTTTTTTTCCCTTTTTTTTTTAATGTTTTTTTTTCTCCTTCAACAACACCTCATGCGATCGGTCCGAAGGCCTCACTTGGCGGCCCTCCCAATGCTCCCACGACGCCAAGCGCGACCTCGCGCTGATCCTGGCGAGCGACGGCTTGTGGGACTTCGCTGAGGAGAAGGAGACCGCCGTTCCGGTTCTGCGAACGGTGTTCGTTTTCGGGGCAAGGGGCGGCGCTTTGGGAGGTTCTTTTTCCTTTTCGGTTTCGGTTTCGGGTTTGGGAACCTCTTTGGAAGCCAAGGGAGTTGTCACGGGGACCGTTTTGTGAATCGTGAACTGAGCACGGGAGATTCTTTGGAACTCTTTGTTGTGAGCTCTTGTTTGGGCAAACCTTTGCAGTTCGAGCAAGTCAAAAGCTTGACCTTTTGCCATTCTCAAACTTGACTTTCCTTTTCGCTTTTGTTGCTTAATCCTTGAGGTTTATCAATCCGGGGTCGATGTGTATCCAGCTTTTGACAGGTTCTTGAGGAATGTCTGTCCATCAATTGAACCAACGGGTGAGCCGATCTGCAGCATTTCCGTGGAAAACTTCGCAGCCTCACATGACATCCGGACAGCCGAAACCTTTGCCAAAGTCGGACACCTTTTCATGGTCATGCCACAAAGCGCGGTTTCAGTTTTGGTCTCGTAAGATGCCGCGTAGATCTATGATAGATCATTAGAACAAGATAGGAGCTAAATTCACTCGCTTAAGAGCAACAAGAAGCAACAAACCAAAACAACTACGTGTCACGAGCACACCTCGAAAGATCCATCAGCTTGTGAGGAAGTCGGGAAGGCCGTGGTGGACTGTAGCTGCTTCGCGGAACTGCTCTTCTGTCTTCTTTTTAGGTTTTTTGGTAGGACCCAGTGGATTTTCATTTACCTGTACTGCAGGTAAAGGGAACCATCCTTTAAGCATCTCTTTGTTTTTTCGTTATTTTGGCGGAACCCAGTGGGTCCACTTGGGTACCATCACTTTCAACACAGGGCAAATGGCTGGCTGAGATCTGAAGGGAATCCACGACTGGCTTCTGCATATTTTTGCCGCTCTGAGGTCGCCATGGGCTTGAGCATGTGGCGCACAGGCGGGCCCTGGGGCCCTGGGGGCTTGGGGTTGGCGGCTTGGTGTCTCGCAGGTTCAAAGCGAAACCCAAAGGCAAGCCATGGGGAAATCCCACTACTGGTAGGGCCCTGTGACTTCTGGTTGTCCACTCTGTTCTTTGGGCCAATCAACAATACGGCACACACAACACGCCGAAGAGAGCCGGAATCAATTCTTGGCCGAGGCTGGTACAAGAAGCTCAACGAAATGGCCCCTGGGCTGCAAAAGATCAGAATGGGTCATCCTTGGCAGCGCTGGCATACAGATCTTGGCTCAGAAAAATCGGAGGATAGGCGAGCGAAAGTGAAAGAGCATGCAGTGCTTAGGCTCTATGGACAACATCAGCTGCCTGGCCATCTTTTTGTAGCCGAAGTGCCTCCGTGCCAGTTCCGGAGGCCTTCGCCGATGTCGCATGGCCATTTGACAACTCCGAAGCAAGCACTGGCTGTGCCTTGAGGCGATTCACACAGCCAGCTTGAGTGGCCTCTTGTACAATAGGTGCGTGCTGCGTGCGCACAGCGGAGACGCATTTTCGGAGTTGCAAAACTGCTGGAACCGCATGTTTGTTCCGTTCTCTGATCGTGTACTGACATCATCCAGCTCCATCCATTGTTGGTTGTTCAGTTGACCTCCAGTTCACTCGCATGTGGACCTGGTTTCTTGAGCCTGAAGGAACTGAACATGGTCTTTTTCAATTCTATTTTCCAGCTCGGTATGGCGGAAATGCGTATTGCGCTGCATGACATCCATTATTTTGGGCTGCTGAATACCTGCAGTCAGACAAACTGCTTTCAAGGCACGGGTCCTTCGTCCGAGTGGAATAGTCGACATCGGGAAAGCGGTAGTTGCTTCGACCCGAGCTTTCTAGATTCTGACGCAGCCTAACGGCTGCTGTCAACTTGGGGAAAGAACTCCAACCCCGCGCAGTTCTGAGTTTCACCGGTTTAAAATGGGACATCCAATCAGGGCGCCTGAGGCCTGAGTCTTTGAGGGCGCGACTTGCCACTCCAAAAGCACTCAGGTGCTTTCTGATGGCCTACGCCTTCATGAACTGCTCTTGCTTTGCCTTGCCGGCGCCTCAGTCGCTCCGGAACCCTCTCAAAGGGACACGAGATCCGCTCTCAGGACTTGGCTTCACTCCTCCACCTGGCGGCCTTCTTGGATCCATCAACGGCGCTGGGAGCTCAGCTCTCGGACGTCTCCATGGAGAATTTCGGGCTTTCGAAGGGGAAGGACTCGGAGGATCGGAGGATCCGGCGCATTTTGAAGGAACTGGCTCCGAGGCTGGCGGATGCTCAACCTGA